TCAGACTTTTAAATTCCAAATTCGATTTCAAAGTCGGATCTGTGTGTCCGGGGGCGTTATTTCTACTTGTGAAGATTTAATGATTTTTTTGCAATTTGCAGCACAATTCTATGTTCTATATTCGATGTCTGTGAAATCGCAACAAAACTGCAGGGAAAAAAAAAAAAAAATCACGCGAGAACCACTTTAGAAATGCGATTTAAATTCCAAAATTCGATCAGTCACCGGTCGCACCACTGCGATATAAAATAATGCGATTTCTGAAGACTTTATTGCAACTTGTAAAGATTTTTATTATATTCTGTGTCTGTGAAATGGTAACAAAACTGCAGAAAAGAACCAATTTTGGAATTCATGCCGCAGCGAATCGCATGTTAAGTCGCCGACATTCACATTCATCAGATGAGATTTCAATTCCCAAATCGCACCGGTATGACCGGGAGCGAATACGATCAACAGCGCGATTCTATGTTCTATATTCAATGTCTGTGAAATCGCAACAAAACTGCAGAAAAAAAAAAAATCACGCGAGAACAACTTTAGAAATTGCTCCGCAGCAAAATCGCAACATTCACATTCATCAGATGCGATTTCAATTCCCAAATCGCACCGGTATGACCGGGAGTGAATACGATCGACCTCTGTACGTCTGGATGGGTTTCTGTCTCTAGCTACATATACACTCACCTTCCGCTTTACCTGTTCGATTGCTTGGTAACAGCCAATCACACGGCAGCAACTCCAGACGTGGCGAAGACGACTTGAAGTTCAAACCGAGGAAGAAAGGGGATTTAAGTGACTTGTGTGCAGGGGCGGACTGACAACTCATGGGGCCCCCGGGCAATAGGAGATCATGGGGCCCCTGTGTCCTTGCCCAAACTCAAAAAAGCCTATGAAAAAGGTACCAGAGGCATCTCATGGGGCCCCCTACTGACCCCGGGCCCTCAGGCAGTGCCCGAGTTTCCAAATGGTCAGTCTGCCCCTGCCTGTGTGGTTGTTGGTGTTGGAGGGGCTGGTCTGACTGCTGATCTCGTGGGATTTTCCCGCATAAAGTATTGTATGCGGCTAAGACCCCGGTCACACCGGCTGCGACTTGGCATGCGATTTGCATGTCGCACCCCATTGTCCGCAATTACAGCGATCATATCAGTGCGCTCCAACCTGGTATAAACGCAAATACTTTATGCGCATATTTTACGCAGGATCGTCTGCCAGCGAGAAGCTGCGCCCTGTGCAGAAAATCGACGTACGAACGAACGATCCCCTATATGGAATATAATACCAGCAGGAATCCGACTGTACAATGTTAGAAGTCTCTAAGGCCCCATTCACATTATGTGCACAGAATCGGCGCGATTCCAAATCGCAGCCAACCGTGCGATGTGCGTTGGGGGGGGGCGCTATTCTTAATGGCGTCCCAAACGCAGGGCACCTCTGCCACATGACAGAATCACGCGGTAGTCACAGCAAAGCGTACATTTAAAAATCACGCCGTTCTTGTCGCACAAAGAGGAGCAGGAGCTTCTTTTGAGCGACAAAACGTGTATAAAGCAGGCCATTGAAGTGAATGGGCTGCCTTATGCAACGCACGTAAAAATCGCACAAAAATCGCATAAAAAAAAAATTGCGAGCGGTAATGCTCATTCTCATTATGCGATATATGAACAGAGCCTAAGCGGGAAATTGTTTCATATAAAATAGAATTTGTGCGCAATAATGGGCAAATACGAGGCGGTAAAAAAAAGGTATCGAGATTCGTTTTCTAACCCGTCAACAGATGGCAGCACAAGGCGGCATGCACAGTCACAGGGAGCACCGACCTTCATAAGCCAGTGTGCTAGAAGGCATCATCCTGTGTACATCGGGAGCTGTGCAACTGGTTGTGACCACGTCTGCCATTTCATGGACAGCGAGTTAGAACAAAAGTGAAATTCTGCGTGAAACCGGGCAAATCGCTGGATCTCCGCAATGTCGTCAAAATGGCAACCTTTGAGCTGGATCTTCATCTTCGGGAAGAAGGCATTTGAGGGCTGAGCTCGTTGGAAGGTCTTCCTGATCCCTCGTCATCCTCCAACGATGTTCTTCCGCTCTCGAAGAGCGCGTGACACTCAAATCGCCTCGAACGACTCGCTGCAACATTGCTGTGAACTGGACGAATCGTGTCAAACGCGTCTGCGGCAGATTTTCCCGATCTCACGCAGAATTTCACGTTTGCGCTTTGTTCTAACTGGCTGTCCGTGACTGAAATAGCCGACATGACAACGCTCGTGGTCATTATAGCACCAGTTGCACAGGTCCCGATGTACACAGGATGATGTCTTTTGGCGCACTGACTTATGAAGGTCGGTGCTCCCTGTGACTGTGTGTGCAGCCTTGTGCTGCCATCTGTTGGCATGTTCCAAAACTAGTCTGGAAACCTTTTGATACCACCTCGTATGGCAACGTCTGTATGTGAAGCAGGGGCGGACTGACAACTCATGGGGCTCCCGGGCAATAAGGGATCATGGGGCCCCCATGTCCTCACCCACACCCAAAAAAACAATGAAAGGTACCAGGGGCATCTCAGGGGGCCCCCTACTGACCCCGGGCCCTCGGGCAGTGCCCGAGTGCTCGAATGGTCAGTGCGCCCCTGATGTGAAGCATTATCTACCCTGGTCGGGATAGAGTGGAGGAAATTATAGAGGTGATGGAAGGTGGGAAGAGATATTTGTGTAAAACCCAACGACGGGGCGCACCAGCCTTGTGCATCATCTCCAAAACCATTTATTTCATAAATATTTAAATCGATCTACTCACAGACGTCCAGGCATATCGACTTTCCACAATCAGTTCGTCCAGCCTGCTTGCTCTAGAGGCATTGGAAGAACATCAAGATCCTAACGGCTTACGTGTTTCGAGGGCCAAACCCTCTTCCTCAGAAAGGCCCTCAACGCCCAAGCCATTAGGGTCTTGATGGCCTCCCAAGCCGAGCAAGCAGGGTGGATGAACGTATTGTAACAATTCGATATGCCTGGACGTCTCAGTACATTGATTGACGTTGTTATGGAATAAATGGTTTTAGAGATGAAGCACTAGGCTGGTGCACCCGCTCTTTGTTCTTTGCAGTTCTTTGGAACACCCCCAGTCCAGAGAGGACAGCAAGGCACGGTGGGTTGAGGTCTTCCATTCTTTAACGGATGTGCTCTAAGTTTTGGACTCAGATCACCACACGTCTGCGCAGGAGGGTTTGTGTAATTTGACAGTAGAGCGATTTATGTTCCTGACATCCATTGTCACCTCCTGGCACCCAATGTCCTCCTCCACCTCCTGGCACCCAATGTCCTCCTCCACCTCCCGGCCCCCAATGTCCTCCTCCACCTCCTGGCCCCCAATGTCCTCCTTCACCTCCTGGCCCCCAATGTCCTCCTTCACCTCCTGGCCCCCAATGTCCTCCTCCACCTCCTGGCACCCAATGTCCTCCTCCACCTCCTGGCACCCAATGTCCTCCTTCACCTCCTGGCACCCAATGTCCTCCTTCACCTCCTGGCACCCAATGCTTTTTCCAACATGACCTAAAGTTGTATGACCTCGAACTGGGTCGAGGCTTGTCCAGCTTCATACAGCCGCCAGGTACAACATTCCAAAACCCCCCAGTCATCCCCCAAATGTCTCACCACACCATTACAGTGGACCTAAAAATTTGGTTAAGTTCTTCTTTCAGAGCAAGGTTAAATGTTCGACATTATTTCAGGAAGACAGTGTTCATTCATGAAGCCCATCATCCTGGGAGGAGAAAAGCACAAAGCGGTGAAAACAATTCCCTCAGCATTTCAGATTGGTTGGTTCCACATAGCAGTTGCTTCTCTACTCCTACCAAGAATAACAAATTCATTCTGAAAAACCCTCCAGCCTGTTTGAGCGTTTACTCGTCTGGTTGGCAACGGAAAGTCAAAGTTCAGCTGGCTAACGATCGATGATCTCTGCCGTTATAGCATGCTTAGACAACGTGTCTGCCAACTGCCGTAGAACTAGGGTGTTGGAACCAAACTTTAGACGTCAGGAACCAAAAGGTTCCAGCAGGACAGCCATTCCCTTGTTAAGAAACGTGTGGATGTCCAACTGTCAAGAGTTTGGAGAGCTACTGTGTCAAAGGGTCTCAAACATTTAACAATGGTGGAACCACATTTTTTGATGTCATGAAACAAAACATTACAGCAGGAAAACTATTCCCTTGTTAGGGAACTTTTGGATGTCCAGTTGTTATGCAAATGATGTAGAGACTTACTGTGCTAAAAAATCTGAAACATTTAACAATGGTGGAACCAAATGTTAGACCTCATGGTATGAAACATTCCAGAAGAACGGGCTATTCCTTTGTTACGGAACTTTCAAATGCCCATTTGTTGTCCAACTGACTTTTGGTTAGGAGACCTACTGTGCCAAAGAGTCTGAAGGGTTTAAACAATGGTGGAACCAGATTTTACACCATGAGGTTTGGAAAGTTCCAGCAGGACGGCTATTCCCTTGTTAAGGAACGTTTAGATGTCCAGTTGACGTAGAGTTAGGAGACCTACTGTGCCAAAGAGTCTGAAAGGTTTAACAATGGTGGAACCAAGTTTTAGACCTTGTAGTATGGAAAGTTCCCTGCTAAGGAACTTTCAGATGCCCAGTTGTTGTCCAAGTGACAGTTAGAAACCTACTGTGACAAAGGGTCTCAAACATTTGACAGTGGTGGGACCATAATTTAGAAAAATGTGAAATGAAAAGTTCCATCTATTCCCTGGAATTTGTGGATGTCCAGTTGTTGTGGAACACACACCCAACAAAGCATGGCCATAGCTACTCTGGCCTGCTGGGACATGCAGCTACACAACAGATGATGATCCACAAATCTCTGCCCATGAGCATATCAGTGCCACCTGAGACCTTCAGGGCTGGAAGGTTTCATCATTGCTGAGGATTTTAGTTCCATGACCACTGTAGTGTACCTACGCAGCTCTAAAATGTATAGAACCTCTCAC